GCGTCGGCTGTCAACCATGACCATGGAACCTTGTCCATATGAGAGCGTAGTATAGACCAAGGCACACCGTCTTCTGAACAACCCGATATACCCTTAATCGACACTAGGCGAACAAGTGTATCTACAAGTTCGTTCAGTAGGTACGCAGCGCATCCTGGAACATGCAACCGTGTTATCACAGTGCGTACTCGCGCGAGCTTTACAAGGGAATCTAACAGGATGGGCAACACACCGCAAGACCTGTACATCGCACCTCCTGCAGCAGCTTCTACCACCATCATGTTATCCGAACGAACAATCCTTCGCCTCGACCGATAGTTCGAAGGTGCCTGAAGGAGCCAACAAACAATCAAAAGAGCAGCATGAGACTCGGCGGGGCTCCACGGGCTCACGTACTCCTCTTTAGGTGAAGGGGCGGAGCCGGCCATGTAACCATCCATCCGATGTTTACCGTCCTTCGTCACGCCACACAACAAACGCCCATGATGGTGGCCCCTGCATGTCCGTGCTGTCTGACCCTCCCGATCCGTCTGTGTACACTACAAAATGATCAATTTCATCGTTGTGAACATCATTAGAGCAGGCATACTGCGTCAGGAAACCAACGGTACTAGAATGGAGACGGTAGCGAAAAAGGCATGGCACAGGAAGTTGCGTGGATGGCGGCGCCACGAAAATTGGAGAGAGCACTGCGTCATCCCATTGGGCCGCGAGCAATGCTGCTGAGTTGGTGCAGTCGGGAACTGGACTGACGGGCGGCGCATTCACAAAGAGTGACGGGGCTGGGTGCCCCGGCAGAGCCGCGGCGCTCGGAGCCCGCGCGGGCTGATCCCCACTGGCGCCTAGCGGCTCAGCAGGCTGGCTCACCCCTTCTGCGACGGGTTCACCAGCGTCGCGTCGATATCGTCTTCCGAACCCTGGCCAGCGCGAACCTCCTCCGCGTTCGTGCGGCGCGGGCTGCGGTCGTGGCTTCCGCCCCCTGCTGGCGCATCTCTCCCCGCGGGCTCGGGTCGCTCCTCGCCCGGCACCACGTGTGGCAGCGCGCCTCCTGGAAGCGTCGCAGAACCCGACGCTGCGGCGTCCGTCTCGAGGGTGGGCTGCCCAGCAGCCGCCAGGCCCTGGGCCAGCAGGGCTGCCTTCTCGTCCGCTGCTGCCTTCGCGCGAGCCTCGGCAGCAGCGCGAGCGCGCGCCTGGCGAGCCGCCATGCGCTCGCCCCACGCAGCCTGACTGGCACCGGCCGTGACGTTGGCCTCCTGCTGCGCGTTCAGTTCTCATCCTCGTCTGCGTCCGCTGCGTCAATCGCTACCTGCGCCTGGAGCTGGGCTGCCGCTGTGGCAGGACATGCCGCGGCAAGGGGCTGTATGGCAGCGGCCTGTGGCACTGCGGCGACGTGCTGCGTGGGCTGCGTAGCTGGATGCGCGGCTGGAGTCGTCGTAGCAGTAGTCGCCGCCATGCTCGCTGCCGCCGCAATCTGCGTCAGCGCCGGCTGCAGTCCGCCCAGTACTGTGGCCAGCCCCGCGATCTGCTGCGCCATGCTCACCCGGCCCTGCTGGAGCTCGGCGATGGCTGCGACCGAGGCGCCTGACACCTGGATAGGCGCCGTCGCCGCGGGCGTGGCGGGCGCCACGTCTTCCTCCACAGGCGTTGCGGTGCCCTGCATCTCGATTGCGTTGGCGGCAGCTGGCAGCGGGATGAGGGTCTCGAGCTGCCGAAGCAAGACCTGTGCACGGGTCAGCTCGTTGGCACGATGCTGCTGGACCAACTGGCGGGCCTCGTGCTCAATCATGGCTTCGCGCGCCGCCTTCTCTGCGCGCTCGGAACGGCGCTCGGCGCGCTGGATTAACCCCCGCCTCTTCGAAAGGCGTACCTCCGGGGTCCTGGCCACGATGATCATTGTCATCAGGACTGAGTATTCCTGCCCCTGCGCCTCCAAGATGCTGGTCGGTAGGCCGAGCTCGCGGGACGCGCAAAGCATCTTCGCAGATGCCACTGCCATACGGCGGAGGTTGCGCCTGTGAGTGGCCAAGGCAGCAGGGTCCGTGGGAGGCGGGATCCAGGCTGGGTGTGCTCGCGCCTGCTCGGGCTTTGCAGGGAGCACACCGAGGGCGGGCCTGCTGGACGCTCCGCCGTCTCCTCGGTCGACTTGGGCTCACTCTCGTCGAACGTGACGTCGGTGGCTGGCGAGCGCTACCGGGATGGTTGGCGTCGGGAAGGCACCTCTGGGGCCGGTTCTTCCACAGGCTCGCCATCTCGCTGCTGGGGCTGGGGCGGCGGAGGGCGGCTCGGGCTGCGCTGACGGCTGTGTCGGGTGCTGCTGTGCGCCGGCCTTGAGGTGCGCCTCCGCCGCCGCTGGTGCTGATCTCGCCCGCTGCCCGCTGCTGCCTGCTGCTGTTGCTGCTGCTGCCTGCTGCTGGTGCGGCCCGCTGCCTGCATGCTGCTGCGGCCCGCTGCCTGCATGCTGCTGCTGGTGCTGCGGCTGGTCGCGGAACACGCTGGACGCCGCAGGAGTCTGCTGCGGGAGCGGGAAGCAGGTCCTGCACATGAGGTCGCTGGCTGTGTTGGCGCGCACGAATGCTGGACACCACACCGGAGGGGGAGGCGGGGACGGAGGGGAGTGACCGCCCTCTCCTCCGCCTTTGCCTCTGGCCTACCACGCCATGGCGCTGTGGTGCGTTGCGCGACACTTCGCGGCGCCCACCAGACGCAGTACTGGTCGGGCCCGTGCACGCTGTTGTCGGGCACGCCTGTGGCACGCTGGCTCGCTGCCTTGCTGGCGCGGCGTGCCGCCCGCAGGAGTGCGCCGCGGCGCGGCGGGGCCCCCGCGCCCGATGGGGGGGGCGCGGGCCGGCGCGCGTGGCTGCCCGCCCCGGGAGAGGTTCGCTGCGCCTGGCACAGCGCCCGAAACCTCTCGAACCGGGGCGGCAGCTAGGAGGAGGGGGAGGAGGAGGAGGGAGGAGGCATAGGAGGAGTTGGTTTGCTGGTGTGTTGTTGATTGGTGCGTGAAGGTGGAGGTACGTTTGGACCCCTCCCGGCAGCCGTCTTCGTTGGCCGAGGGGCTGCAGGGAGGTCTTTGGCCCCCTCCATTAGCTGTTGACGCCGTAAGGTGTTGGTGTATTGGTGCATTGGTGGGGGAAGGCGACCCCAACGGCCCCTATGATGGCAGCCGCAGGTGGTGTGAGGCCTATGATGGTCCTCACTGGTGAGGCCTATGATGGTCCTCACCGGGGTGGGGGTGGGGGAAGAGGGCAGGAAGTCGAAGCGGATGTCCGGCAGCAGCGTCCTGGGGGGATACCTGAAAAGGGGACTTAAAACAACGTCTGTCCTCCGCCTATGTTCCAGAGGAGCCCCGTACAAAGAGCAGAGGCAAAGAGAGAGAGAGAGGGAGAGAAGAGAGAGAGGGAGAGAGAGAAAAGAGAGAGAGAAGAGAGAGAAGAGAGAGAGGGGGAGAGAGAGAGAGAGAGGCAGAGACGAGGACAGATGTGCACGCCTCGGGGGGCTCGGCCCCCGGACCCAGAAGATACGAAATATACAGATTTCGTATCACAAAAAATAGCTGGCAGCGAAGCTGCTTCATGACACCCCGGGGGCGTGCAGCGGCAGGGATGCACCACCTGGAGTGCGAAAGCGAAACGTGGTCACGTTACCACGGCCGAAGCCCGGTGACCAGAGGAGGCCCCCCAGAGGCCTCCAAGGGTCACAGGCCGGAGGTCGCCACAACCTGCATTCCCGGGGGGAGCACGACGAGCAGTGGAAGAGGGAGCACGACGAGCACGACGGAGGGAGGCGGGAGGCGGGAGGCGGGAGGCAGGAGGAGGAGGAAACGAAGGAAGAGGAGAAGGAGGAGGAGAAGGGGGAGGTGGAGGAGGAGGAGGAGGAGGAGAGGAGGAGGTGGTTGAGGACGAGGAGCAGGACGAGGAGGAGGAGGAGGCGGAGGACGAGGAGGAGGAGGAGGAGGAGGAGGAGGAGAAGGAGGAGGAGGAGGAGGAGGAGGAGGAGGAGGAGGAGGAGGAGGAGGTGGAGGGGGAGGGGGAGGAGGAGGATGATGATGAGGAGGAGGAGGAGGCGGAGGACGAGGAGGAGGATAAGGAGGAGGAGGAGGAGGAGAGGAGGAGGAGCAAGAGGAGGAGGAGGAGGAGGACGATGAGGAGGACGAGGAGCAGGACGAGGAGGAGGAGGAGGAGGAAGAGGAGGAGGAGGAGTAGGAGGAAGAGAAGGACGAGGAGCATGACGAGGAGGAGGAGGAGGTGGAGGAGGAGGAGGAGGAGGAGGAGGAGGAGAGAGGAGGAGGAGGGAGGAGGCGGGAAGAGGAGGGAGGAGGAGGAGGAGGAGGAGGAGGAGGAGGAGGAGGAGGAGGAGGAGGAGGAGGAGGAGGAGGGGAGGAGGGAGGAGGAGGAGGCGGAGGAGGAGGAGGCGGAGGAGGAGGAGGCGGAGGAGGAGGAGGCGGAGGAGGAGGATGGGAGGAGGAGGAGGAACGCGAAGAGGGGGAGGGTATCACCGACCAATTTAGGCAATGATAATGGATGGATGCGCATGTCATGAATCAGGTTCGGAACAACATATTCAAGGCAAAGGAGATGCGGATTCGAGGAATTACTCCAGCCACGGGTAACAAGTCAGAGCGGCACACGTCAAACGCATCAGCCATGCTATTGATCGCCAAAGCCGATGCATCAAATGTTGGGCAGACTTCTCACAACATAAGTATTTCCACGACTACGATTGACATGCTTCGATGAGGGAGGGTCACCCGCCCGAAGGTCGCGTGGCCCAGTATCGCTCAACCGACCCCTGTCCCCATCCTCGTCCCCTATCCCAATCTAGACCCCACCATCGCAGCACCCCAGCTGGGAATGAATCCCTCGATGCCCGAACGGAGCGGCCTATATTCCCATCTGGGAGGGCAGATCGGCCAGTGGGGCCCAGGCCACGCCCGTGGCGATAGGCATCGGCTAGACGATTCTCAGTGGCCGATCGCGCGGATCACGCGGGGAGAGCCTGAGGTCTTTCCGGATGACGCTGTGAGCGACGGCGCGGCCGGGGGCAGGCGGCGGCATTGCGCTCGGTGCTCAAGGGACGGGGGTCAGTTCAAGCGGAGGCCAGTCAGAGTGCGGGATCTTGCAGGATCCTGCAGGGCCAGGGTTATATTGACCAGGGCAAACGGGCAGGATCCTGCAGGATCCTGCAAAGCCTGACTGGCCCTCGTTTGCGTTGACCCCGGTCAGTGCGTCCTCGACCCCCCGCAGCTCGGACGGGGCGGCGCTGTCGCCCCCAGCTGCAATACGCGCCCGCTTTTTTTACAGCAGCACCGGGGCGCCTCACGTTGCGGGCAAGATTAGGATGTCGCACCCCGCAGTTGCGAGTAAGAGCGAGGGGGTGAGCCGCGTGGTGGGTCGCGAGGTGAGTCACGAGTGGGTCGCGGGTGGGTCGCGAGGTGGGTCGCGGGTGGATCGCGGGTAGGTCGCGAGTTGGTCGTGGGAGGGTCGCGGGCAGATCGCAGGTGGGTCGCGGGCTGGTCGCGAGCGCGTGGTCAGGTTGCGAGGGGGGCGACGACAACAAACAACAATGCAACAACAATCCGCACCGCGGAACCCCACTTCATCCACGCACCCAGAGGGAGTGAATGACAGTTCGGACCCCTCACTCTGTTGTCGATTTCCTCTTCGTCTTGGACTTTCTGGGAAAGGGCGCCCAAAGGCCGAGGCGCAGTGGATATGGATGAATGTTTAGCCTCCACAGGGGCCACATTTCTATCCATACCCACTGCGCCGCTGGGTTCTGGGGGGAAGGGAGCCCGAAACTCCAAGACGCAGTGGATATGGAGACAAGCTTTCTTGCTCGCACACGTGCTGAACGAAATCCACACGAATCCAGGTCCTGCCCGCGTGAGGTGTGTACGGTCGGGAACTCTGGCTTTGGCGTGCCGCGCCGTCGGTCCTGGCCGACCACGCCTCGGCGCGACACGCCATCTACGTCCTGGTCCTCTAAGCGTCAACGTCCCGGCCCTTCTCTGGCCTCTGTCCGCAGAGCGGAGCAGCACGTTATCCGCTCGCGGGTCATCAGCGTGTCGCCGTGGCCGCCGCCGCGACAAGCCAAGCAAAAGCTCCTGACCGTAGCCTAGTGACAAGACGTGCCGAATATGTCGGGTCGGGCGAAAGGGGGGGATTGGGAAAGGGGGGGTTACGAAATTTGCTGCATGCAGCTGGTTTCGGCCTCACCGAGGGGCCCATTCCTCGATACATGGGCGCCTCCGGCGCCGGGAGGCGCCGGGAAAATCAGCTACGTGAGCTGATTCTCAAACCCCCCCTTTGCTATCCCCCCCTTTCGCCCGACCCGAATATGGCTCCGCGGCTCCCTGCTCCACCAGTTGGCGATCGTGCAGAGGGCCGTAGGAATGCCGGAATCGCGCGCTGGTCGCGTGGCCCCGACTGCCGGGAGGACGAGTGCACGCGGCCGGTCCCCTCAGCTGCTCGGGAGTCGCTCCCTGGACGGTCCTGGGAGGAGGGGGGGGGAGGCCGAGTGTCAGGTTCGGCAATTATACCACAGGAGGTCCACCGAGAACACCTGCCAAAATCTTCGGGAGATCTTCGACAGGAAGCTCACCCCCCCCCCCCCAAAAAAAAACACATTTAAAACCAACTCTAAACCAACACCTGGGAACATCTCATAATACTTTACAATAGACCTCTAACACATCTCGAAGCCACAACCTGGGAAAGTATCAAGCCCAAGAAAAACTTGGAACTGCAACTCCAGAACAACTTGAAGCAGGGAAATTGATAAACATATGCGCGCTGGAAAACTTAACAAAGTGGTCGGACTTGTTGTTTGACATTGTTCTACGGTGTTTTGAAGTGTCCGAGGTTACCGGGGTTTGCATTCAGAGTTGTTAGAGTTCTTTCATCGTTTGTTTAGAGTTTGTCAGGCGGTCAGAGATTTGTTTAGAGTTGTTGTAGGGTTCGTTGTGTCATAATCTTTTTTCAAACGAAATCAGACGTGCAGAGTTTGTTTTAGAGCTGTTTCGCAGAGTTTCGGTTTTGAGTTTTTTGTGTGAGAGTTGTTCCCCGGTTTCGGCTTAGAGATGTTTTAGAGTTGTTGTCGATTTTGAGATGTTCCCAGGTTTTGGATTAAAGCTTTGTTTTTTTGGTTGATTTGAGATGTTCCCAGGTTTTGGCTTAGAGATTTGTTGAAGTCGTTTTCGGGTTTGAAAATTCGGAGGTTTGGTCTTAGAGTTGTTGTTGCAGTTCTTGGGGGTTTGATATTTGCGCAGGTTTGGGCTTAGAGATTTTTCGATGTCTTTTAGAGTTTGAGTGTCTTCGCGCGATATGGTGGTGGACCGCCTGTAGTCGCCATTGCCGGACCTAAGCCGCGCGAAGGGGGGGGAGGGGAGGGGCCGGCGGGGGTCAGTCCAGGGCGGGGGCCACGAGGGGGTCCCCGTGGGAGGCGGGGATGTGGGGGAGGCCTCCTTTGGAGAGGCCTTGGGCCTGGGCATGGCCGCGGAGCGAGAGTGGCGAGGGGGCCGCCGAGCGGCAGTCTACGGGGGCGGGCCGGAGCCTCTTGACGACGGGCTGATCATGGGAGATGTCGTGCCGTGTGGCCGTTGGTTGAGGAGTGTTGCAGTCCAGGGGCGCGGCCATCGGGGATCTCTTTGATTGCGTGCTCCGTCGGAGCAGGCACTACAGTCTGGACAGGCTCCAGGGCATGAGGTTCTCACCCCACCAGAAGGCCCGAACCGACCTTTCTGTGCCGCGATCTCCCCGCTCAGGATTTTCGCTGTAGCTTCCGCCAGGGCCTGCCACCAACGCGTCCTGCTCCTTTCCGTCTCTGGCTTCCAAAGGGGCCTGCCGCCTGACAGTCGCGCGATAGCCACTGGCGATCGCAGTGACCACCGACCCGCCATCAACGATCGTTCGCACAGCAGTTCAGACACAGCGCGCGATTTGCGAACGAGTGGCGCAACCCCCACCACGACCGTGCGACTCCCGCGAATGCTACGAATCCCACGAATTGAGTTGCTCGTTCTGTCATTTCAGCTTCTTTTTTGAGTTTATTTATAATGTGGTGAAGCTGCATGCCGCCGGCGCTTTCGAAAGCGACGATCTGTCGTGTCCCGGATGTGTCTAGAATTTGCCAGCCCAGATGCCCACGCGCTAATCCTGTGCATCCACAGCCAAGGTAGCTGCATCATTTAATATCTTGGTGCCAGTTGTCTGGCTCCCCAATGTAACGACCGTTTCCTGGTTGACTTATCCCGCGCTTCGAGCCTGCAATCGACCGTCCGACGGTGCGGACTCTGCTTGCTGTCACCGGGAAAGCAACAATTCAAGTGCAAGCTGGGCGAATTCATCGAAGATGCCTACGGCGAACTACCAGCCCCTGCTGCCTTTTGGAATCGCCTATGTGACCCAACACTGGGCCATGTGTTCACCCAGTCGTTGTGAAAATCCTTGGGGCTAACACAGGGGGGAGGAAGAGACAGAGGAGGAAGAGCAGGAGGAGGAGGAGGAGGAGGAGAGGGAGGAGGGCCCAAGAGGCCTCTTGAGGGCCTCTTGGGCCTCCTACTGCCTTCATGGGGGGCTCTTGCGCACCACTGAGGGCCTGTTTGGGGCCTCCTGTTGCTTTTTGCAGGCCTCTGAGAGGCTCCTTGAATTTCGTAGGCCGTCTGGGAGGCCTCAGGGTGCTGTTTTAGGGGCCCCCCTGCGACTTTTTAGGGCCATCTTGGAGGTCTTTGGTGCCGCCGCGTTGGGGTCCGTCTTGGGCCGTCTTAGAGGCCTCTTGGGCTGTCTGGGGGCCCTCTTGGTCCGAAGAACTGACCTGCTTCAACCACCGACGCCCAAATTGCCAAATGGCCAGTGGAAGGGCGAAGCGCCAGCGCTTCGTAATCTACAGGGTGGGGGGGGAGGCTCCAGGAACGTGAACGCGATGTGGTTTCGGGAGCGCGAGCCTGCTGAAATTTACAAGGGGTTGTGGCCTCGGGGACTCGAGCGCGGTGCAACTCATTAGGGGGCGTTGCTTGGGGAGTGCGACTCTATAAGAATCCACGAAGGACTGCCACCGCGGGAGCGGAAAGTCGTATTCATGCATGGTGGCCTCGGGGGTGCGATCATGTTGTATTGTATGTGTCCCGGGGCCCGAAGCCGAATTCTCAGTAAACGACGGGGGAGCCGAACACAGCCCCGAACACATATCTTAATGCAGACATCAGGGTGGGGGGGGTTGAGCGGTCATTCACTGTTCCTGGGTGCGTGGCTGATGTCGGATTCCTTGATGCGGATTATTAGTGTTGTTGTTGTTGTTGTTGTTGTTGCTGTTGTTGTTGTTGTTGTTGTTGTTGTTGTTGTTGTTGTTGATCGTTCGTTTGTTCGTTCGTTCGTTCGTTCGTTTGTTTGTTTGTTCGGTTGTTTGTTGTGTTTTGTTTGTTTGTTTGCTTGTTTGATGTGTGTTGTTTGTTGTTGTTGTCGGTGTTGTTGTTGTTGTTGTTGGTGTTGTTGTTGTTGTTTTTGTTATTGTTGTTGTTGTTGTTGCTGTTTTTGTTGTTGTTGTTGGTGTTGTTGTTGTTGTTGTTGTTGTCGTTGTTGTTGTTGTTGTCGTTGTTGTTGTTGTTGAACATTATTACTTCTAAAGAATAATTATTGTTGGGACCCCTGGTGCACGACCCCCCCGCCGCGCCTAGGCCGCAGCCACATTTTCATCATTTTCGTGAGGAAGTCTCAGGCAAAACGGGTTGGTCCGGATCCGGTTGTTTTGTTACGGCCCGCTTTCCCTTGCAAAAAAATAAGCTAAAGTGGACATTTCTTGTTCTAACATAACCAAACTTCAAGAATCCCTTGCAAAAAATAAGGTAAAGTGGACATTCGCGCGCGCAAGACGAAATCCTTCCAAAACCTTAGTTTTCGTAGCGATTTTAACATAAAAACATCAAAAAACCAATGGTTTAAAACAAAAAAAAAAAATGTCAAAATTTCATCCCGCGCGCTCTTGCGGATTCGTAGGAAACCCAACACTTTTCAAACATTTCTGTCAAACGGGCTTTTGCGAGCAACTTTTTCGAACTTCTGCAACAACGGTTGCGCACCTGCCAGGGCCATCATCCCTGTCAAATAATACCATGCGGGACACATTCGTTTTTTCTTCGCGCGCGCACGCCGTCGTCGTCGGCCGCGGGGCCCTGAATAGTAGCCACGGTCGTCCGCATGCCACGAAGTGAAGTGTCCGAACGTCATAGGGCGGGAAGCTGGGTGTGGGTGGTGGCGAAGAGTCGTTTGGAAATTTGGTAGAGCTTGAACCGGCCCCCCCACAAAGTGGGGGTATTGCCCGCCTCCTATGAAAACCCTGGCACTGGTGAGAACGGAGTGTCCCCACGTGCTAGTAATTGTTGTTGTTGTTGTTGTTGTTGTGTTTGTTGTTGTTTGGCGTAGTCCCCCCCGCGACCCAGCCCGCGACCCACCCGCGACCCACCCGCGCGCGACCCACCCGCGCGCGACCCACCCGCGACCGACCCCGCGACACACCCCGCGACCCACCCGCGACCTCACCCGCGACCCGCCCGCGACCCGCCCACCACCCACCCGCGACCCACCCGCGACCCACCCACCACCCACCCGCGACCCAGCCCGCGACCCACCCGCGACCCACCCGCGATCCACCCGCGACCCATCTGCGACACAACACGCGACCCACCACCACTGCTTCAACAAAAATTTGCGCCTGCGGCGGGTTCGCTGGTTAGCTTGAAAACTTCTGCGCCTGCGGCGGGCTTCGTCAGAGCCTCGCAGACTGCCGACGTCCCGACCGCCCCCTCACTCTTATCCGCAACTGCGGGGTACTCTTCTGAATAGTAAAGTGCTCGCAAGAGTCTTGTGCGGGGGACGTTGTTGCGCCTTGTGTGGAGCTCGTTTGAATGCCCTAGGAGTTGTATCCGCGCGCGCGTGTTTCCTCTGGAGAAGGCGGAGTGCATCGTAAGCGCGATAGATAGGGACTTCTTGCACAAGACCCCTGGCGCGCCTTGCGCGCTGGCACGATTTGCTCCGACACTCCTCCTATGACAAATACTAGCAGGTTTCTGATTTGGAGAGGGGGGCGCTTTTTGACAGTCTCCGTGGGGTGACATCGTGGCCTCTCGGACGCAAACGTGTCCCAGTTTGCGAAGAGATCTGCTGTAGGCAACGCGAACGCACTGTAACTTAAATAGGTATGGCCTCGCGGGCGCAAGCGCGTTGTATTTCACAGGATTGTGGCGCCGGGAGTGCGAAGTCGCTGCGTTTTGCGCAGATGTTGTGGCTTCGGGAACGCGACTGCGAAGTCATTTGCGAGGGACTGTTTTTTTCTAGGGTGCGTAAAACTGTTTTGTTGCGTGTGTCAGGGCGCCTCAGGAAATTTCGAAAACCCCAGCCTAGCGTGGTTTTACTCCCCTCTTCGGGCTCCCCCCCTCGCGCGGATTTCAACATCATTACGCCATCAGAAGTAGAAGGTAGTCCATGCAGCAGGCAACAGGACAGC